AAGTAAATAAATAAATGTGAATTCTGGCAGGAAAACTGATCTGTCAAGGGTGTGGGAAGACAACATGGATGCAGGAAATCCTGCTGAGATAACCGCTGGTGGAGCTGTGAATTGAGATGAAGCTCCCAGTGATCAAAATTTAGGCCTCCAAAGGTTTGCTTTGCTTGCAGATTAATACCTGCATTAAACATTAATACCTACTGGCCCTCCAATTAATAATACTCCTTTGGTGTCATCATCATCACCGTAGGAAGGCAGCAGTGATGTTGGTAGAAGTCGTTCCAGTGGGTCTAATATCCCCCAAAGGTGGTATATCTTATTTCTTGGCTGCAACACTCCAGATTGTAGCTGAGGGTTCATATGTTGCTCTATGAAAATAAATAAAGAAACCTTTTCACATGGATAACTAGCTGTCACAGAGAAGGCTTCTGGTGTAGCCTTCTCTGCAGCATGCTACTTGTCTCTAATTTGTGTGTGGTATTTGGTGTTGCAGTCTCGATGGCATTGTTTTATAGCCACTTTGGGAGGGCTGTTGGTTTTAAAAAGTGGTTGAATGCCTTCTTGGGCCAAGTCAGACTGTTGGAGAGTTACAGCGCCTGCTGTGGCTGTAGAGACCAATATGGATGGGAGAGACATGTTTTGTTGCAGCTGGGGAAGATGAAGGTGTCTGGTTGTGCTGCTGCTGGTTCGGTGGATGTACCATACACCTGGAATTGCCTTCCTCTTCAGGTTTCCCTGAATCTGCGCCTCTCCCAGACACAAGATGACTTTTCATGTACGGTTAAGTGTTTAGCATAGGGGTGTATAACATGTGGCCCCTCCAGATGTTGCTGAACCACACCTCCCATCATCCCTGACCACTGGGTAGGGCTGATGGGAGCTGGAGTCCAAGAACATCTGGAAGTCCACACCTTCTGCAGCCTTGCTTTAGAAGATGGAGATAAACAAGGGTTTATAGAGCAGCATTGCCGTGCAATTTAATTTGCTTATGACAGTCATCATGAAGGCCAGTTTATTCAAGGGACATTCCTGATTGCATCTCAGGTAGTTTTTAATTTTTAGTTAGAAGCAGCGGTGGATGCCCTGATCTGGGTTTAATTTTCCCTGTGTTTTAGAAAACATCTTTGTAGAATGGGAGGGAGGGGAGGGAGTTTCCTCTGCCCTGAACATAAGCAACTTCCTCTGGAACTTCAAAGTCTCTCTCCTCCCCCCCTGCAACAGGGTCTCCAGCCACAGAGAGAGAGAAGCCATAATTAACCTGCCTTTCAGTAGAACCCATAAATCATTGTGCAAGGTGTGTGTGGAGGGGAGAGGCTGAAATACTGGGGGCAGCGAGAAGCTACAACCCTAGTGAGATACGCAAGTATACAGAATAATCCATACTTGACCCAGGTCCCCAGCACTTCTGGAATTACCAGACGTTCTTGACTAACTCTGCAAACAGCAGCCATACATTTAGAACAGGCTCTGAAATCAGAACATGTTCATTTTCTGACGGGTATTTGTGTGATTTGTTTACTTTTTCTTCTTCGTTTGATTAGATGCTTTAAGGATGTGTATGCCTTTGTCCCTTTGTGATTTCAGTAATGATTAAAACAGCCACAACAATGATTTCCCACTCTTGTCATAATGGTTTAGGGGAAATTGCTAATGTTTCTATTGCAATTTCCCCAGAATGTAGTGCAGGAAAACGTGTAATATTTGTAGTTTAACCCCTCAGAGAGCTACATTTCCAAGCACCCTTAACATTCGTCTTGCGGGGCACCACTGTACAGTTATACCTCTTGTTACGTTCGGTTCAGGTTACGTCTTTTCAGGTTGCGTCCTGCGGCAACCCGGAAGTACCAGAAAGGGTTACTTCCGGGCTTTGCCGCTCAGGCATGCGCAGACGCGCAAAATGACGTCATGCGCAGAAGCGCTGAATCGCAACCCGCACAGATGCAGGTTCCTTTCAGGTTGCGAACGGTGCTCTGGAACGGATCCCGTTCGCAACCAGAGGTACCACTGTATACCTAATTCCATTTTTCAGGTTCAAGAGATAATTACAAGTAGTGTGCTCACCCATTTACTGCAAGAAATGATCCTTGAGTATAAGAGGGTAATGAGTAATTCCAAGTATCAGTGGCAGGGCAGTAAAAAGGAGGAGAAGCTTCAGATGTATGTCCTAATTAAAGTTGGAAAAGGTGGGTTATAATGGGATATTTGCTTCCTGGTGAGCATTCACAGCTTGTCATTAAAGCAGCAAGACTTTGGGGCTGTGTGTGTGTTTTGAGAGGGGAGCTAATTTGGGAGGGTGGTTTAGAAGCAGTCCTAATTCAAATAGGTGATCTGCTTTGTCTGCCCTCATTACTAACGAGTGAAATTAAAGCACCCCTCCCCCTCCTTCTTTGAATTAAATACACAAGCCATCAGCTGGGCTCTGATCTTTCCATTTAAAACCTTAATTGTCTAAAGAGCTCAACGTGAGCCCTTGAAGTTGGCCAGGTCTGTTGCAGGGCATTAGTGTTAGCTTCAGATTTACAAGCAAGCTGGATTTAATCTTTTGCTTTAATCCCTGCGATAGTCCTGTTTGGAGAAAGCGAGCCTTTTGCGTGTTTTAGGAGATAGGCAATGAGAGTTTCCGAATGAGGGGCTCCAGGAGCTTGGTGGCACAAGGTTATGTGGGGAACCTGCCGAGCTGGAAACGAATTAAATTATGAGGGAGGAAAACTCGGCGGGGAAAGAATAGGTGATGCTTTTAATTCAGCACCTGTGTGTGTATATCTTAGCAGCTCAGAAAGTAGCTGCAGGCTTCAATTGTGTTTCTCATCAAGAGCAGTTATAGCGTAAAGATGTATTAGCTGAAACGCCCAGGTTCCGTAAGCGACTGGAAAATTTAGAAGACAGACAGTACTTTCAAAGAAGCATTGAAAGTGGTTTCCGGCAGGTATGCCCACATATTTTGCCTCGCTGTTGCCTCTGGTCAAAGTGGCTTCACAGGGTTTTTGCTTGTTTGTTTTAGGCAATATGAAAACCTGCTGAACCTGTTTATCAGAGGCAAAAGTGTGATTTGTCATGTGTAGGGGTCGCTCATTCCTCCCATGCTTGATTCTTTGAAAGTGTGTATCTTCTGCTCTGGTCCCCCGATAAGAGATGTGGAAATTGTGAATGGCCATCATATCCACTTCTTTCTGATTCCTTGCTTTCGGCAAGAAGGAAACAATAACAGAGTACAGGAAAGCCGTCCATCAGGTCATGCTATAATCTCTTTTTAATGCTCCAAGGTCCAATTTTCATGGCTTGAATATCGTTGTGAGCCTTTGAAAACGAGTTGTGATATTAGTTGGGGGGGGGTGCATGGAAGTCCCAAGGTTGTTTCTGAGCATGAAGAAGAGATGTGTATATTAGATTTTATTTTTTTGTTTTTTAAACGAAGAGTTAATTAAAAAGGTAAGTAGATGAGCAGTTACTGAATGCACCATAAGTTCTGCTGTTAGTGTCTGATAATCGTTTTCACGCTGGGCATTGCAGAGTAACGCTGCTTATTATGGTGTATTAATCAGCCATGGAGAGTCCGTCAGGGAGCTGAAGAGGGTGGATAGCCTGATGCATATGCAGACAGACCATCATGGGTGAAGATGAGGCCATGTTCGCAAACTGCTAACAGCTACATTAAAAGAAGCATAGTTAAGACAAAGGCTCATCTCATAAGCAAACAAATTTCACATGGAAAGACTGCAGGGTGGACATGAGTGCCAGGAGGCCTGCCCATAGTTACTCATGCAGAGGCACAATGGCCACCTCCTCATAACATGGGTGATTCTGCCATGTCTGTAAATAATTGTGTACTCTGATTACTTTCAGGCACAGAAAACCAGCAAAACCACTTGCCCCATATGTAGACTGAGAGATGCATCAGGCAGCCTCGTTTGTGAATTGGTGCTTTTCTCAGTGGAATAGGACATTTATGTTTGGGGAGGGGGTCATAGCTTGGTGACGGAATCCATTCTTTGAGTGCAGAAAGATTCCCAGGCTGAACCCCCAGGGTCTCCCGTTAATACGGTGGCGAGTGGTGGGAAAGTTCTCTGCTGGATTGGCTTTCTGCCAATCAGAGCAGAAAGTACTGAACGAGGTGGAACAGTGATTTTGTCTTGGCTTTATGGAGAGGGACGCAGTTCAACGAAAGAGCACCAGTGTTGTCTGCAGAAAATGTCAGGTTCAGTCCTCCATTTGAAAGGATCAGGTTACAGGTGATGTGCAAGACGGGCGCTTCACTGCTATCCAGAGTGGGCCTGGCTGCGTTAGATGGCCAAATAGCCTGAAACTTGGCTAACTGAACTTGGTTGGATGCAATGCAACCCTATGTCATAGAATCATAGAGTTGGAATAGACCACAAGGGCCATCGAGTCCAACCCCCTGCCAAGCAGGAAACACCACCAGAGCACTCCTGACATATGGTTGTCAAGCCTCTGCTTAAAGACCTCTAAAGACGGAGACTCCACCACACTCCTTGGCAGCAAATTCCACTGTCGAACAGCTCTTACTGTCAGGAAGTTCTTCCTAATGTTTAGGTGGAATCTTCTTTCTTGTAGTTTGGATCCATTGCTCCGTGTCCGCTTCTCTGGAGCAGCAGAAAACAACCTTACTCCCTCCTCTATATGACATCCTTTTATATATTTGGAACATGGCTATCATATCACCCCTTAACCTCCTCTTCTCCAGGCTAAACATGCCCAGCTCCCTTAGCCATTCCTCATAAGGCATCGTTTCCAGGCCTTTGACCATTTTGGTTGCCCTCCTCTGGACACGTTCCAGTTTGTCAGTGTCCTTCTTGAACTGTGTTGCCCAGAACTGGACACAGTACTCCAGGTGAGGTCTGACCAGGTGAGGTCTGACCAGGTGAGGTCTGACCATGTCCTTTATCACGGGTCTAGATTGCATCATCGTAGGCTTGTTTTGACTTTCTCTCCTTTCCCTCATCTGTGCCTTTGACTTAATTTTGCTTCTCCTTTTCTTTCAGGACCCCCGATTATCAGCTTTAATTTTTGACAAGCTTCAAGTGCCTGAATACTTACAGAAACCCAGGAGCGAAGGGGAGAGCAGGTGTGATGTCTGTGCAGCCCACCTGAACCAGCTGAAGCAAGAAGCCCTCCAGGTCATCCACAGCCTCGACCAGGCCAGCTGCCAAGACCCAGCAGACCCCGCACAAAGTGCCGCGGCAATGGCTGCTGTGTTGCCAAGGTTGACCTCCCAAAACGTGGTCACCGTGTCCTCTCAGAGGGACGTGTCTCTCATGGCCGGGCAGGTGGGCAGGCAGCCTGGCAAAACGGCAAGCCTTTTCTCCGGGACGGAGAGGAAGAAGGGAATTGGATGGCCGCAAGGGGCAGGCGGGTTCCCAAACTCTAGCGTTCAAGTGACAGTGGCTCCCGGTGGCCTTAGCGGAGCGTTGAGCTCAGTGACGATCCAGGCTCAGCAGTACCTTGAAGGGATGTGGAGTATTTCCAGGGTGAACAGCTTTCTCCCTCAAGCTTGCCTAGTAAGTAACCAAACACTTGGCCTTTGATGTTCCAGAAAGGGTGTGTTTTCTTCCTGCTTGGTGGGTTTCAGAAAACTCCTCTGCAGGTGAATTCCAGAGCTCGGGCTGCCCCGTTTTAGCCCCAGAATGGGTCTTTCCTGGAATGTTGCTGGCAGTGCGATGCTTGTGCTGCCCCAGGGAGGATGCTTTTTGTTACCTGTGGTTTTAGAACAGGAGGAAGGAGTGGAGCAGTGGCTTTTTTAAATTTAGAAACAAATAGGAAGCACCCAACACTTCTAAAACCAGCAAATCAGGCTGTTAGGTCTAAGACAGTGGTGAACCAATGAGTGTCAAATTGGGGATGTTTCACTGCAGGTCTTTAGACATTATTCAGACAACTGATTCCTTTGCGTGGTGGAGTGCCTCCTTTCCAGCATTCTATGTGACACTTGTTGTTGTTGTTTAGTCGTTTAGTCGTGTCCAACTCTTCATGACCCCATGGACCAGAGCACGCCAGGCACTCCTGTCTTCCACTGCCTCCCACAGTTTGCTCAAACTCATGCTGGTAGCTTCGAAGACACTATCCAACCATCTCGTCCTCTGTCGTCCCCTTCTCCTTGTGCCCTCCATCTTTCCCAGCATCAGGGTCTTTTCCAGGGAGTCTTCTCTTCTCATGAGGTGGCCAGAGTATTGGAGCCTCAGCTTCAGGATCTGTCCTTCCAGTGAGCACTCAGGGCTGATTTCCTTAAAAATGGATAGGTTTGATCTTCCTGCAGTCCATGGGACTCTCAAGAGTCTCCTCCAGCACCATAATTCAAAAGCATCAATTCTTCGGCGATCAGCCTTCTTTATGGTCCAGCTTTCATTTCCAGACATCACTACTGGGAAAACCAGTATGTGACACAGTATGTGACACAGGTCCTCTTAAATAGGGCCCCATTCACTTGATCCTTCCCTCTCAAAAGGTAAGGGAAAGAACAACAGTTGTGTGAATGTGCTGCCTTCTTAGAGCGCCCTACAATTGCAGGTTGCTTTAGATAAATGCTGTAAGGCAAGATGATGCACCTGTTCCCCCATTATGCAGAAGAGTCAATTGACCATGTAAACTCTTTATTGGCACCAAGTAAGTATGTTTAGAATTGCACCCTAAGGCTGCAACTGTAGGCATGCTGACATAGGCATGAATCCGTGAGACTTACTTTTAAGAAGACAAAAGACAGAAGTACTGTTCTTGGGGGCAGGGGGTGGGCTGGTGTGGAGGACTCCTTGGTCCTGAATAGGGTAACTGTACCCCTGAAGGACTAGGTGCAGAGCCTGGGAGTCATTTTGGACTCACAGCTGTCCATGGAAGCGCAGGTCAGTTCTGTATCCAGGGCAGCTGATTACCAGCTCCATCTGGTATGCAGGCTGAGATCTTACCTGCCCGCAGACTGTCTCACCAGAGTGGTGCATGCTCTAGTTATCTCCCACTTGGACTACTGCAATGCGCTCTAGGTGGGGCTAGCTTTGAAGGTGACCCGGAAACTACAACTAATCCAATTCAGAATGAAGCAGCTATATTGGTGACTGGGGGCAGCTGCCGAGACCATATAACACCGGTCCTGAAAGACCTACATTGGTTCCCGTTTCCGAACACAATTCAAAGTGTTGGTGCTGACCTTGAAAGCCCTAAACGGCCTCGGCCCAGTATACCTGAAGGAGCGTCTCCACCCCCATTGTTTTGCCCGGACACTGATGTCGAGCGCTGAAGGCTTTCTAGCGGTTCCCTCACTGTGAGAAGCAAAGCTACAGGGAACCAGGCAAAGGGCCTTTTCGGTAGTGGTGCCCACCCTGTGGAACGCCTTCCCATCAGATGTCAAAGAGATAAACAACTACCTGACATTTAGAAGACATTTGAAGGGAAGTTTTTAATCTATAACATTTTAATGTATTTTTAATCTTTGTTGGAAGCCGCCCAGAGTGGCTGGGGAAGCCCAGCCAGATTGGGGGGGGGTACAAATAATAATAATAATAATAATAATAATAATAATAATGAAGAAAACATGGTTAGGATTGGCCTGAATCCTGTGTTTATATAACTGGCTGTAGTATTTCTTTGTCCCTGTGTTAGTTTTGCACCAGTGACTGTGTATGGTATAAGAAGTGTTCAAGAAAATGCTTTAAAATGGTCTTCTCCAGCTGGTGCTGTCTAGAAGTTTTGGACTACAACTCCCATCAGTCCGAATTCCTGATGGGAACTGTAGTCCAAAACATCTGCAGGGCACGAAGCTGAGGAAGACTGCTTTAAAAGGGGGTGGGGAGTTTAAGCTGCCTTTTGTCCAATTTTACTGCGTTTGAGCTGTCAGAGTATTGAAGTAAAACTATCCCTCTGTAGCAGTTCCACTTTATGTGATCAGGCTCTGAACTTGTCATAAAGGTAGCCTGGTAATCCCCCTTGACGCCTGTGTAAATAATTACCGTCTAGAACCAGTACATTTTCTTTGTCCACTGAAGAGTGTAATTATGAATGCTACTTTTTCGTAATAGCTTTTTATTCACCCCAAAGTTAACAAACTGGAATACAAACTGTACATGGTTTAGAGATAATCCTCGCATGAAGTATGACAGCTGTTCGAAACTGAATGGCTTCACTAAACTCTAGGAAAATATTGAATTAAAAGTGCAGGATTTTTTTTAAATTAAAAAAAATGTAATTACCTGAGTTGGACTTTGGTTGGGATTCTAATAGATATAGATATTAATCTGTGAGCCTACTGGAAATGTGCAAATGGATGAACAGCCGGGGGGGGGGGGAGAGTTCTTTTGTATATTCCCAGGTAACTGTATTTAAATGCAACGCAAAAGAGAATGGATAAAGGGACTGTCACGAGGGCAGTAAAATCTTCATAGTAAACAGAGCATGGTTTGCAGATGGCTTTTTCATGCAATATGTGCCAAAAGTAATGGCGTTCTCTAAGGCAGGGGTGCACAAACTTTTTTCAAAGAGGGTCAGATTTGATGAAGTGAACATGCGTGAGGGCCGACCAAAGTTGTGGAGCTTTTTTTTTACAGTTTTACCCCAAAGTTCTTGGGCTTTTACCAAAGTTCTTGGGCTTTTTTATAGGATTCTACCCCAGGACATATGCTGCCACGGGGGCCGGATTAAATCGACATACGGACCTAGGGGATCTTAGTGAAAATGGGCTGCATGGATTTCTGCACAGAAACTTGGGGTGCCTGAGCTTATCCCAAAAGGGGTTCAGGGAGTCTCCACACTGACATAATTTCACAGGAGGGATTCAAGTGCATGCTGGGACTTTAGGTTTGCACAATTGAAGTGGATTAAAGGGGTTCTGCTGCCCTAGCACAACAAACCCACTCTAAAGAAGAGCTAGACTTCTTGTGGTTTGGAGAGTGGAGGGGAAATGGATTCAGTAGTGTGGGATTCATGAATAACTGACGGGAAGATATTAGGTTTGCCATATGTCCTGGAAAACCTGCACATGTCCTCTTTTAGGGGGCCAACATGCCCATTTCCCCAGCTTGGGCTGGCAGCGGCTCAGACTGTCCTAATTTTTGCTCTTCAAGAGATGGTAACCCTAAGATACATAAACACCCCCATAAGCAAATCAGGATGAATGCTCATTGCCATATTGATGGTCCTCTACCAAGGAATGTAATGGCGGGGCAGGTTTGTGAAGGGCCATTAAATGTTTTCTAAATACTTGAAATACAATTTAAAACCAATCACGCTAAAGCATGTGCAGTCATACCTCGTGTTGCGTTTGCTTCAGGTTGAGCGTTTTCAGGTTGCATCCCGCGGCAACCCGGAAGTACCAGAAAGGGTTACTTCCGGGTTTCACTGCTCGCGCATGCGCAGACGCTCAAAATGACGCCACGCGCATGCTCCAGAACGGATCCCATTCGCAACCAGAGATACCACTGTATACATGTTTCTAACATCTCTTGCCAAAAACAGAGCTTTAGCGGTTTCCTCAAATGACACTGAGCATACGTCGATTAGGACTGAAGGCTGAAATTGTGTAAAAGGAATTAGGATGAATTAAGTTACTGGGGTAAGGGACGCGGGTGGCGCTGTGGGTAAAAGCCTCAGCGCCTAGGGCTTGCCGATCGAAAGGTCGGCGGTTCGAATCCCCGTGGCGGGGTGCGCTCCCGTTGTTCGGTCCCAGCGCCTGCCAACCTAGCAGTTCGAAAGCACCCCCGGGTACAAGTAGATAAATAGGGACCGCTTACTAGCGGGAAGGTAAACGGCGTTCCGTGTGCGGCTCTGGCTCGCCAGAGCAGCGATGTCACGCTGGCCACGTGACCCGGAAGTGTCTCCGGACAGCGCTGGCCCCCGGCCTATAGAGTGAGATGGGCGCACAACCCCAGAGTCTGTCAAGACTGGCCCGTACGGGCAGGGGTACCTTTACCTTTACTTAAGTTACTGGGGTAACCCCCCCTCCTGTTAAGCGTTTATGCAGGGTTCCCCCCCCCCAATGGTGCACTGTCTTATATATAGTCTGTTGAAAAATGCTGTATGATTTTAAAGCATGTAATAAAAATAATAGTATTGGGATTGAAAACAGTTTGGTGCCTCTTGAGTATTTGAAGATGATAGTCTGCTGCCTTGATCCGGTGATCTTGATTACTGCATTATGGGGTGTGTTTTTCCGCTCCCAAAAAAGCTTCTCCGTGCACTCTATTGGAGAGAGCAAACTCATATAGCTCTTTGTTCACTTAAACCCAATTCTTATCTTACTGGTGCACTGTGCTTGCTGCTTTCCTGTTGCTGTATTCTGTGCTGAGGGGCCTCAGGAATGGTTAATCATATCCAACAGATACTTGGCTAATCAGATGGATTGAGTACCCATGCAGGCTCTGGGATCTGTAGCCTGAGGGTAGCTGTTAATGGTGATAGAGTAGAATGTGGTCCCTGTTAGTCATGTTGACGGTAAGATGAGATGAGACGATAGTCAGTGTTATGGAGAGCCAGAATCCCTTACAACAAATACGGCAAACTTTGAACCAAAGAGGAAGCT